TGTCATATCTAACGTCATATAGGACAAACTATATGAAAAAACTGTAGGCTCTATCTCGCTATATGGATGTATACAAATTACAGATCGTATCTTGCTTTTATTCTCATCCGATTAACACATTACCGGTCGTATCTCGCACCATTTTCATATATAGGACAAACTATGACCGACAATTAACAAAACTAAAAAGCCGGGTTTTTTACTAGCTATTCGTTTTCGCGAAGCCATGTTATTCCTTTTACTTTCGTCCCTGGATCTCGTTTCGGCCTTACCCACAAGATAACAAGACTTCTTTGTGGGAAACTAGTTCATGAATCTGTACTGTATAGTATTGCTGCAATGTGCCGAGAATTGGAAGCGCCCCAAAGCGGTCCTCATGCACATGGTATAAGATACAAGAGGTGTTTCACTGGATGTAAGCTGAAGCCCACAAAAAGTGTATCGTGGAGTGGATGAAACTGTTATCGAAGTAGTACGACCGAAAAGATATCATGAGCTAACCAATGACAGAACATAACCATGTAGTTTTCCTATTGAGATTTCTCATAACCGTCTGCTATAGTGCAGGGATCTTTTTGAACTCTTCTTTGGTCAATGAGAACAAATCTGTATATAGCATGTTATTGAACAGCAATATCACAACTTGCGCATGTTATAAATAAATTTAATCTAAATAGATCGTATATAGTCGTTCAATATATTTAATCGCATAATCAGACTTTGTGGAAGCCCGATTAGAACTTCTAGTAAAATTGCATTCGTCAAATCGTAAAAACTTGAACATTTAATCAGTTTGAAATACACATGGCACTTTGTGTTCGAAGAGAATCACGCGATCCATTTGCAGACATGTGAAAATTCCCCTTTTGCGAAAGGATAGAAATGAGTAAAGGTGAAACTGAACTTATTTAAGTGGAGACACACATGACTGTTTATAGCTGTCTATGATGAAAAAACTTAACGTGTTGACTTGAACGTGATCAGTGACTGATCTTCACGTGATTTAAGCCGTTTGATTTGCCGCTTACACGGTCAGTGAAAATAATATTATGACCGTTATACATGCCTATTACGCCCAATATACTACATAATCTGTCTGCCTTAGCTCTAATCTATTTGCGCTCTATTTTGTCGTTAAAAAGTTGCCGTTTACTCTAGCCTAGGTTAACATAATTTAAAGCCTTATATGAAATAAAGAGTTTAAAATATATAGGTTTATAAATACCTGAGAAAATATAAATCTTGCTAGAATCTTAAATTCCTGTCAATTTTTCTTTTCTGAACAACTAGCCCAATGATTAATTTGTAAATAAATACGATGCCCCGTGCCGTTTGAAGTGATCTTAATGACAGTGCCCTGTTTTCTTTTTCAACTCTTAAAAAGCTGAAATCCATCTAATCGTACAAATTTCAGATCTGCGTGGCATTCAGCCATAAATGCTACGATGACGTTACCCGTTTGAGGTGGACAAAGAATGATTTGTTAGTCCATTGCACTAGATGAATGTTTTCATGCATTTACATGCAGCACCCAAGAGAAAAACTAAATAATGCTTGTAATTTTTTTATGATAAATATCGATTTGTTGTATAAGTACATCCATTCTTCTAGGAGTGTTTTTTAATACATAAAATACACGAAATCATTAAAAATAGCGCTGACTCGTCAGGGGGTGTGTTTTTACACTCCACCAATGTTTCAGTATACATACATTTAGAAATTTACAGTTCATTAATTTACATCGTTCAAAAGTAAAATTGTATTTCATCGTGTAAAACGGCTCTGTGTACATAAAAAATACATAACATTTTATCTCGAACCAAGGAGCGTATACGAGACCACGCTGTGAGGCTTGGCCCAGTCCTCCGGACTGGATACGAGCATGATTATTATTAGTATTGAGTTGTTGCTATATTTGTTTTATTTCGGTTGCTATGAGACCTGCTAGACTATAGTTTTGCACGCTAGAATAATTACTATCACTCACTAAACAAAGTTACAAACGTAGTCTTTTGTCAATGAGCCTGAATATTCTCTAAACTGGCTTTTGCTCTGTCCTTCAGTTCTTTCAGTGTGTGTTCAATTTTTGCAGAACGTTGATGCATCTCTTTGAACTCGCGAAGATTATCACTCAAGCGCCCAGTGAGATCTTTTACTTGTTTTTGAAAAAGTTTATCGTTCGCTTCCCGGCTTGCTTCATCATCTAAGCTTTCTCGATCTTTTCCTCCGGCACAAATCCAAGTTCCCTTTCTCTGTTTGTTATTTAACTCCAAGAAATTTGGCGGCTTCCTTTCAATAATATCGTTGCCATATTCCTGCCACTTTAGTAAAGCATCTTCGAATCGCCTGTTTCGCTTAGTACGGTTTATTGGGCACGACGTGGCAGGATTTAGACTAGTTTTCCTGTTTGCCCCCAATTGATCTGGCAAGTTTTTGACGTCCAGTGATCGAAAGACTTTCGCGTTATCAGCAACGCTTTCTGTTGTGACATTCTGTGGAATTTGCAACGTCTCGTTCGCGTAGTTTCGGAGCATCTAGGCTATGGCTTTTCACACAATGAAATGGTGAGTAAATCTTTTGAACGTAAAAGACAAACAAATCTTTTGAAATTACAATATTTAACAACTAACAAGTGGTGCTGGTCAAGAAGTAATATGATCGTTTGTTGTACACTCATTATTTCTGATTTTCACGTTTTAAAATGCAAATCATGTGACAAATTAAGCCGTCATTACGCATTTCACAAAAGGGTTGATTATCACTATTTGCCCTCAATTTGTTTTCTCAAAGGAATGGTTAATGACTGGTAGACTTTGCCGTGTGAATATAAAGCGTAAGAGAAGACGACATAACTGAAGTAGTTATGACAGCATATTCTTTGGTCCACTTTGCAGTTTGCGTAGTTTCCATGCAATCAGATGATTGGCAGTTAAGATGGCGGATTCCACTTTTGTGATTTGTGATGCGTCGTATCAAGCGAGTTTAAGATGCGAGAAATCTACGACGCGGACGTGCGTGATAAAAAAACTGCTGCTATTGTTAGGAAACCAGTATTAATTTCTTTTACATACGACTCTGACTTTCTTTATCAACTGAAGAGTCTGTAATTTCCATCCTTGTCTGGGCAGGGAAACTGTGGAAATTAGAGCCGTATTACTTCACGTCCGCGTCGTAGATTTGGTGAATCTTAAACTCATTAATGCCATTATCCAGCGACGGTCTAGAAATTCGCTGCTTAATTCCTGCTCGCTCAATGCTTTTATATCTCATTCGAGGCAGCGAGGCTTTTTCATCAGTGTTCTTTGCCAGTTTTCATCAGTTTACTTGCCAGACCAGAATGCCAGTTCATTTTCCAGGTTCAATAACGCTAATCGAGGCTACTTGGCGCTCTCCTTTATACGGTAAAAACAGCCAGACCGGACTTTTCACACGTGAATTTTCTTGTTTTTATGTATGTTGATATGTTTACGCTTATTTAATCGTGTGAATCAGGTTTGAGTTAGACAACAGGGGGCTTAGCTAGTTTTCAAAAATTTCTTTCAAAATGGAACCTTTTTGTAGGTTAGATCATATTGTTTTAAACGTTCCAATATAACCAGGGAGCAGCGTGGCAGCGTCTTCAAACAACTTAGCAGCAAATGTGGTATAACAACTGCCTAAAATAGACAAAACACTTTTCGACGTTTCAACCTGAGGGCCTTCGTCAGGAGAGTTAGTATGACTAAAGGCTAGTTTCCACTCAGGAAAATTCACCTTTGGATCGGAATGGACAGGAAAATTTCCTTTGTCGGTGAGATCTCAGGCGGCGTTTATACAAAGGAAACTTTCCTGTCCTGTCCCATCCAAAGGAGAATTTTCCTGGAAACTAGCCTTAACTCTCCTGACGAAGGCCCTCAGGTCGAAACGTCGAGAAGTGTTTTGTCTATTTTAGGCAGTTGTTATACCACATTTGATGCTAAACCAAGCTTCTTTGTTCTCGTTGTTCTTATGTTTGTTCTCGTCCCAGTAGTTCAGTTTTTGTCCAGGCGAAGGTGTGAAAGTTGTCGTATATGTGTGTACTGTGGGTAGAGATTTAAGGTCTTGTCGTTTTATAACGTTCTTGTTTTCAGTTATTCGGGTTTCGATTTTCTTCGAGGTTTGACCTATGTATTGTTGTGGACAGTCTTTGCAAGGAATTAGGTAGATGGACTAGATGGCATTTCATGTTTCCGGCAGCGGTTGTCGTTTTGTCTTGTGTCAGTTTGTAAAATATGACCTAAGTTTGTGTGCTGGTTTATGTGCTACGTCAATATTAAAAGAGCGAAGTAGTCTGGCAGTCCTTTCAGTTTCTGATGTGCTCTGAATGTATGGTAAGGTAATTGTTATATTTGATACTTCAGGTTCTCTTTGTGATTCATTAATTTCATTAGTTTGTTTGCTGCTCAGTTTCGTTGCTACTTTGTTAATGAATGTCTCAAAAAAAGCGGACGCTGTTGCCTGTTGAAATCAATTATTGTTTGAACTTTGACTGAATGGCCTGAACCCAATAAACCGATTGTTTCAGTGCTTCGCACTGCAGTTGGACTTTGAGTCAGCGAAGAAATCAAAAACTCGTTCTTCTGTGGTCAGTTGAACCATTTTCTCCCAAACTGGCCATATGATTAATTTGCACTTTTATCATTTTCGCAAGGTTATTTTTCTTATTACTCACGAAGTTATTTTTTTTTATTATTCACGAAGCTACTTTATTCTTTAAATTCTCAAAGGCCTTAATCGTTATTCGTGTGCTTTACACATGAATTTCAACGCTTTAATGAGTCGTTTTACGCTCTGGAGAACACTCTGGAGACTTAAACCATTCAAATTCTAACAATAGGTGAATAAATTCAATAGCGTACGGGTTTTTTTAGACACTCTGTATGTGTATATCTACTCTTTGATACTATTTTAAAAAAGTTGTAAAATGGCAGTTACTGTATCGGAATTATAATTTAGCCAATCCACGTCTTGAACTTACGCATGTGCCTACCTTACAAAAAGCAATTGCCAAAGCAGCGCGGGTATATTTGTGGTATTTGCCATTTCCATGATCACTGCATGACGTCATTCAAAGTACAACAAGGCGAACTTCCAACTTCAGTACTGAATTTCAATACTGTCATTACTGTGAGCTTTAATAGCTCCACGAAGAACGCCCAAAGAAATAAATTCTTAAACTCTGAAGCAATGAATGGCTGCCAGAATGGGAATTGCCATGAAACCAAAAGCAGTGACGATCACTGCGTAAGAGGAAAGATCTTCCAGACCGCTCAACAGATATATGTACACACAGGCAACCTGACAAATTGGAGCCGAAGCAATTCTAAAGTGGTGAAAAGCACGACAGAAGAGGTTTGTTATTAATGTGAAAGAAAGTATGAGCTGCTATTTATCTTCTTCTAGCTTAAAAGCACTCTTTTGTTGAATATTTGTTGGAGGTTTAGTAAAATAAGAGCAAAATTTGTTTGAGCTTTTAATACGTCAGATTTGTCACGTTAGGATATGAAAGTCTGTATTTATTTATTTATCGACATAAGCGACATTGTACATTAAAATTGAAAGAATTCGACATAAAATCCTAGCTATGCAGTGTAAAACTAATGAAGTGCATGTAAAAATATGATCATTCGCCTTTATACAATACACACTGTATTTTTGGCACAGTACTGCAGTAATCGCCTTTACATTTATAATTTGCCAGATAATTCAGCTTTCAGTGCAATTTATGGCTTGTTATTCAAAAGAATTGGCAAATACTTAGGGTGTGTTCTGTTGGCTTGTTGATTTCCTGGTGGCTTCTTAACCAGGTGGCTGTTGTGATGTGTATACAAATTCACAAAATTCATGTAACGGTATCGATCGTTTTGTTTTGTGCTGTACATTATCTTCTTAGGTATATCTGCTTTTGCACATCAGAGGCATGTATATCAATGTACCCTAAATTGAAATAGGTATAGTAAGAATTTTATGGGTGTTGCCGGTTGCGCTAAATTCTTATATTTTTCATCGTTATATAAGTTTTCAAGCTAATAATTATTCAAAGACCTGTTGCAGATGCTCAGTGTAATTTGCATCTCTAGGTTAGCCTTTCTTGATTATATTATAACACTGATAATATCATAACACAGAGTCCAGCACAACACCGCAGAAATTGGTGTTTTCACCAATTTCCGCAGTGTCATCCAGCACTCATACAAAACCATTTCATTTAGTGTGTTCCATTTAATTTAAATCATCTCCATGACCATGCTATTTATATATTATCAAAACATCCAGCCCCTTGCATAAGGTTGGCCTAAGTACAAAGATATGAGCCGATCCATTAGGGGGCCGAGTAAGGATTAATAATACAGGTTGACAAAAATAACAATATTGTTGGTACAGTACTTCCTCGTTGTAAAAATTCAAGAAACAGACTAGAGATGTAAACAGTATAGACAGCAAGAGTAATATGAACTGTTTAAAATGAATGTGCTCTACACTTTTTAGGCTTTTGTTAATAATCCTATTCATCATAGCATTTAGCAGTTTCAATTTATGACTCAGCATGACTTGTATAATATATTTTAGCATTGTCAGGATCTTCTAAAGTAGAATGACTCAGCAGCAATGACTTAGTCATCGTTCAGTAATTTCAGTAATTGCTTTTCCTTCAGTAGAATAGATAGTGGGTATGTTAGATATTATTATGACTCTGAGGACTGCATTAATTTCCATCAAGATACATTCAAGTTCTAAAACTAGAGATATTATACTGATATTCAAGTTCAAATGAACCAAGTAGAATTATGACTACAGTAATAATCTGTCCTAATGCAAGTCTCAATATGTTTATATGCATGTGACTACAGCTGGAACTCACTAGGGTTATGCCCTCAATATCAACCAGGTAATATGTATAGAAAGTGTGTATTACCTGACTGCAGTTTACTTCAAGTATCCATGCATAAGTTGCAGGTAATTGCAAAACTGTGCAACAAATTTCTTACTTCATAATTTGTTGTACCTGAATAGTTATAAAGATGTAAAACACATACAGTATATAATATGTCTGTTACAGCAGCCTTTTTCATTGTAACTTATCCTGCATTTTATGTTATTGCAGTTGAGAACCTTGGAACTTACTGATTTTCCTAAAATTGTGAATGAAGTTGAGAGCAGTGTAATAGCAGAGCATTTCTAGCAATTGATTATTTGTTTAAAATAAAAATTATTTAATGCTGGTCTAAGTGCAAAAGAACGCCAGCAATTTTGAACAAAATATCTTTGTTCGTTATTTTGGCACCAATTGACATTAATGATTTCCTGAAATGTTAATTTCATGAACACGCCCGTATGGTATGTTCATTCAATGTCATCCAACGTCTGTTAACTAGCTGTCAATCCTCCTTGGTCTAGCCACCCATTTGTGGATGTGTCACATGTATAATGTTGGTACCACTACTATATGGTAGTATGACAGCTGCCCCAGCGGCCCTCTGTAAAATACGGCCCTCTGTCGACGCTTTGACGCTAGATATGGCGCTTCGTTGTGCTTCGTAGAATGAAATAAACACTATGTCTACGGATAAAATATAATTTGATGCAATTGAATTTAGATATGTGAAAGACTGGTTTCAACTGTGAACTCTTGTACGACGGACAATGATAAGAAATATAAAGAGGTAGGTTTATATAATGTCGAGACGATAATGATATCAGTTGCTTGTTTTCATCCCACTTGATTTAGCAATATATTGGCAGGTTCATATGAGTGGATTAAAAATATATACAATTTGTAAGACCTGCAAAAAGATTATCAAAAAATGCAACACAAATAAAAAGTCCAGTTTCCAGCCTCTTACCTAGGTTCCTCACCGCTTTATCATTACCTTTACTTGTGTACGACTACTTATTTGATTGCTTTTTTATTATTTTCTCAGCGAGAATGTGTTCGTTTCGCGAATGCGTCATTGGTGGAGAAAGTAAAAAGGGAAGAACGCGACACTTTAAGAGTTTCAGGTTTGACATAGTTTTGAAGTATTTCCAAATTTATCGCCCATAAAAATATATACAGTATGATGTACATTTTCAGCGTATTTTGCTGAATTTTTCCGGCCTTTTCGTTTTATTATAGTAAAACTTTTCATTAATGAGGAAAAACCACATAACATTCAAGAGGCGATATTCCGCGGTAAGAAAGAGCGAACTGTTTACTATTTACATGATTTACTTGCATCGCCAAACCTTTTAAGCAATTTAGTACTAGTAGTGTGAATTTTTAAACATACGGATCTGCTGTTAAATTCGAAACCTTTTAGATTTGACTGAACTTGGTGTTGACTTTATTGATGTCGTGGTTCTTTCAATCCCGCCATTTCTAAATGCGGATACGCAGTTTTCAGTTATCAAACCAATGTGGAAGGTATTATTGTCATATTTTTTTACTACTTACGACGCGAGGGCTTTTATGTAAGAATTTTGAATAATAACTGATTATTGGCCGAGCGTGAGGTCTGTACTGTAAAATATCATACCGGGGCTTGAAGGGGCAAGGCCCATGCAAAAAACCTCGGTCTGATAGTTTACAGTACAGACCAAACCAGCGAGGTCAATAAATCTGTTTATTACATGGCTGAACTGTATGAAATATGGGATACTGGTCCAGATACAGAATATTCGGACCATGCACGGTCCGGATATGAGTTATACGGAACGCTCGTCAACCAATCAGAATAGAGGATTTTGAAAAGCCATATAATAATTCTTTTTATTTGAATTTCACAAAAAAACAGTTATGTCACTTCATGTTATGTCCCAGTTTGATAATCTGATTGTCACACATGTATTTTTATTGTACCAGGAACTAGAGAAACTTGTAGAGCAGTCATATGTCGGAGATATTGCTGTATGTGACTTCAGCATGGTGGCATTAAAACAATTATGCGAATTTGCAAAGGTAGGTCTTTATAAAGAGTAATCTTTGAGTTCTTTTGGCTGTAAATAGATTCGTCCAGTTTTGTTTTTTATGAAAGAAAAACGCTGCTTATTTTTCTTTCAGATCAAGCCTTCATACGACCAGGTCAATTTAGCGTCTTGCTGTGTGATGCCACAGGTTAAATAGAAGATACTCCTTGTCATTGTCATTGTATCGTTAACTGTACCATTCTATTTCTCACCATTTGCCTCTCTGATATTTTGAAGGACTTGGTTGTGTATGCCAAAGAGACTGGAATCAATCTTCTTACTCATGCTGATCCAAAAGGTGCGTTTTTTTCGCATTTTTTGCGCAGTCAGCATGCAGGCTCTGAAAAGGAACATTTACTTTGATAGTACTTAGCACGCTCGCGTATTGTGGAACCAAATATCAGGAAAAATCTGTCATTATTTCTTCAGTTTCTCAACAGGATTAAAAATTATAGACTTCTTTTGATAAACAAAGTCAGAGCCGTATTGAAAGCAGCATTTAAAACCGATTAAAACTAGGTTCTTAACACTAAAGTGGTTGTTTTCATGTCACGTCCGCGTCGTAGATTAACTCTGCAGTGAGTTCTCTTAATGCTGTTTAAAGGCTATATCTCTGCCGCAGCATGATTCGATAGTTAAGTCGCTTATATCTATATACGTGCCTACGTATAAGACTACGTGCGTGCTAGAAGTACTGTTGTGATGTACCTAGATTGTTCGTATGAGGTTAAAGGCTGCTTTCCACTTACGCGTTTTTTATACGCACGTACACGTACGGAAAATTTTAAATGCTTTTAAATTTTTATTATTTAACATCTAGGACAACTAATGCATACTAAAATATGCAGAAAACTAAGTTCCTTCGATTTATTCACTTGGTTTTTTCAAAGGTAGCATGTACAAGGATTTAGACTTTTACGTGCGTGTACGTGCGTATGAAAAACGCGTAAGTGGAAAACAGCCTTAACTTGCCCATTGCAATACTACGTCATTTCTACAGGCATGCAAGCATGCATTTTATTGTGATTTTTATCAGTAATCAAATCTGTTTGTCAGCCGCCCATCGGGATCCTCTATGCACAATTTGCAGGGCCCCATTGAAAAACACCTCAGTGATATGGACTCCCTGTTGAAATATAATTATTATTATTATTTTGAAAATTAGAACCTGTATTTTGAGACGGTTGTCTAAGTTTTACAGTACCCGCGTCATTCTATAACAGCTAACTTAATTCGATAAAGGAGTTCTGATATAACATGATATTACATAAGTTTTTATTATTATTCTAAAAATATTTACGCTGTCGAAATATTTGTTCAATTAGATATTCTTCCATCCGAAAAATTGCTTCAAACCATCAACAAAGCCTACGAATATCCAGAAGAGGTACGTGGTTGGCGATATTCGTGGGTGACCTGTTACTCAGTCATCATCAAATGTCGCGCTGTGCTGCAGAACAAGGGGTGAGTAACTTGCACGCTAGTTTGCATTTCCGATTCTTTCTTCCATATCTTCCAACGTTTTTAAGAAATTTACGTTCTTATTTCAGGTACATTGTGAATCTTGTCCGGGAAGTGTAATTATGTATTAAGTTAAAAAAGGGCCGTATATATCCGTGGTTTTAGATAAAATACATTTTTCAGTTATTCTTCGTTTCAGCTGTCGTGCAGTTCTCGTCTGGAAGGATTGCACGACAACAGCACGATAGCAGAAACATAGAATTAAAATTTTATTACAAGTAATCCACCTGAAAAATATTATTGATAAACGTAGACGTTTCAAGCTAGTAACTTTCATTTCCGACACCTCGTTTTTTTGTCGTATTTTTTAGGTTGACAATATAATTTAAGTATATTTATCTCATACAAGTACAGTATAGTGCAGTACAGTACAATACAGTGAAAAATATTATGTCACCCTTTTTATTAGCATGCAATAAGCGCGGAATAACCAGCGATTACATGTAATTTTTCCTTTAATTTGTTCTATTTTGAGGTAAATATAATAGAAGGGTGAAATAATATACACTGAAGAGAACATTGTGACTAACTTAACAAACAAGACTATATAGTATTACAAAGTAGGGGGTTGTTTGCTATTAATAGCTATTTAGGTTCAGTATAATGTCTTAATTTATGTTGTTCGATATATATCATGTTTTACAAATAATGTATATTAATCATTAATGTTGAATTAAGAAATTGTAGGTAAGTCTTGAGTCTCTTTAACATGGCATCTAGTAAAAATTGTGCAGCGTATTGAAAATACCTGAATGCGTAGTTACATAACCGACCATCTCCCAACCTCGTAGGCAGGGTAAAGACCCTGGGTACGAGGTTGACCATCTCTCAAATTTTTTTATTGGCGTCAAAAACGAACGATCTACGGTTTGTTCTGCGCACATCAACATCAATTATTACTTAGTTTTGAAAGGTCGTTGATTGCATTTTTCTCTTTGGCATATATTTACCTGGCACAGACAGATTGTGCTAGTAAATCGTGAAAAAGTTGCTCCAAAGGCCAGGGGCCGGTGGTATAAAACTATTTAACTACATTTGGCGTAGTTGAATCCTAGTTAACTCAGAAATACATCACTCTGATTGGCCAATTCTGTCCTTAACAGTTAAAACTTAAAAGTTGACTTGTCTTTTATACAATTGGCCCCAGGGGCGTTACTCATCCAGTACCCGTTCTCCAAGGACGCCGTAGAAATTGGTGTTTTAGACGTTTCAACACGAAAATCTAATCGCTGGTTCACAACTGTGCATTTCTCTACCGCTATCAAAGAGAAACCTTTTGAATATGTTAAAAAAGTTCAATTTTTCTTCTCAATACGCATTCTGCAATCTTTTGACAGCTCATCATACACATCTGACCGCTGGGAAATGGCCATTTTGAGCCTTAAAGTATACACAAGGTTATTAATTTAGATGATTCGTTTTTACCGTGTGCAAGCTTCAAATCTTTTGTGCAAGACATATTTTCTTGAATATTTATAAATCTTTTTTCTCACCAAGTTTGAAGTCTAAGTATTGAGAATTGCGGCTAAGTCTATACCAATTTCCGCGGTGTCTTCTCCAAGTTTCAGGCGATGTATTATTGCATTACAGTAGTGCAAAATTAGATGTACTAATGTACTATTCTATTTTGTGTGTTCGGTGATTGGGGCCTCAAAACTATTGGAGAAATATTCCCCTGTTTCAGATGTGCTCTAGAAATACAGGTTACAGGCCAGTTACAGGCTATATTACACCACAGTTATTATAAGTAGCTCAGTGGTCTGAAGTGAAATCCAATATGGCTGCCAATCCAGGATTTAGTTGCTGGAAGAATTTTATAATAAAGCGATATTTTAATGGACCCTTTCATTTGTAATCGTTATGATGAAATTCAAGCAGCGTGTTATTATCATTTCCCTTTTCATACTTATTGTATTTCTCTACCTGTGGGTAAAAATAAAGCCAAGAAGCAACCGTGAAAATCCAGTTGTGCAAGTATCAAATGAGGAGAACTTGTTACGAGCTCTATTACTTGATGGAGCGTATGATTTTAATAATTTAGACCATAAACATACAGGAACATCCATACATAAGAGAACTACCGAACCTGAAGCTAAATCTGATATAAACACGGAGAAAATTTCAGCAACTGGCGTTACAATTGCAGCCACCAGTAATTTAAAAACAAAGGCTTTAAAAAATGTGGTATTACACAAAACAGCTTGGAAATTATGGCAGGAAATGGTGAAAGTAAATGAAGTCACACAGCATGGAGAAGAAGGGACATTGAAAGTAAATAGAATTGTAAAGGCCTTACAGACTGCACCTATTATTCAGACAAGTGTTGGCTATAAAGGAACTCAGCTGAAAACTAGTATGTTTTTAAAAGGCAACCAGAGAACTGTTTTTAAGCCAAAAAGGTTTGTACTTGGAGGGTCTTTCCAAACCACAGATTGAATGTGGATCTTATACAACACAAGACAGCTCCTGGCTGGAAAGTGTGCAAATTGTGTGCACACAAGATTTAAAAAAATACTAATTAGTAAATATTTTAGGAAAGCAAAATTGCATGCCTGATATTTTAGTTATGTGATACATACCTTCCACACTGGAGGCAGCTTTTATCTTTCACTATAGTGAGATGTGATTGCAATTTTGATTTCTTAATTTAAATGGCATGATAGCCAGACAGGCCCCAAAAAGATATGATTATCTGACCAGGCACTCCATCAACACTAATTAAATAGTTAAGTCATTGTGTGTCTGTAATCAGTGGGTAATATGCTTGATGCTTGGTTAAACTAATAATTTTTTAGATGGTTCCTCATTAACTGGCAGTAATCTAACTGGCAGTACTGTTCAATTGATGAGTTAAATAATCTGCATGCATTCAGACTGAGAAAAATACTAAACTAGTGCAAATCTATGTGCATTACAAATTAACAAGGGGCAGTAATAGATAGTTCATCTAGCATTAGACAGAGTAATTAAAGTACTAATGCAGGACCCACTTTGGTGCATTGAGAGCTAAATTACAGCATAATCACTGATGCACTCTCATTTAGAAGCTTGTGCCTGTTTTAGATATGAAAGAGACTATATTATTGAAGGTGTACCCTACAGTGGTTTTGATCGACATAATGGAGAAATTGCAGCTTTCCATCTTGATAGGTAAAAACAAAACATCCTCAGCAGCATGTTTGAAAGAAAGGTTTATGTAAAATAGAGACATTTTTACTTGTAGGATACTTGGCTTTTACCGAGCACCAATTGTCACTGGTCGAATAGTCAATTTAAAGACTGAGGTCATGCCAAATATTCAAGCTGAATTAGCGAGAACTTTCTTTAAGGAAGGTTTGTCATTTTTTCATGAGAATTATATGGTGCATAGTCAACACTGTTTGTTAAGGACACTTTGAAATATACAGGTTTTACATGGTTTTCTCTCTGTAAAACCTTTCAAGTTGACTTTGACTAAAAAAGGAAATTGGAGGGCTTTAGAGATTCGTGAACTAGCCATACTTCATTTTATAGGAAACAATACATGCTTTTATGGAATATGTTATTACTGCAAAAAGCGTGAGGCAGCTTGTGCCAATGGTGATGTGATGGAAGGGTCAGTTACAATATGGCTGCCTGAAGGATGGAGTTTACGGAACTGGAGACATCCATGGCAGAGAACTTATAGGGAAGACAGAAAGGCAAGGTGGGGCACGTCAAAAAGACATATGTGGAAACAACACAATAGCTGAATAGCAACTGGCAATATCTTTTCTCTCTACTAAACACTTGGCCTTTCAATTTATACCCATTGTACATTGACCTTAGCTTGTATATACATTCTTGGGCTTACAGTTTTAGTTTATACAACTGCATTACATTAAACATGGTGTATTTTGTAGATGGGAAATTGATCAAAGTTACTGTACTAGAACTGTGATGAGAACACCGCCATATAACAGGGGTCCAAGACTAATGTTTATCATAGATACTGCAATTTTTGACTTCTTCATTGGTAGGTATATAGATAGAGTGCCAGACAAGGCTTTATTCAATAAAATTTGAAGTACTATAAATAAAGAAATTAACTGCATGTGGTGTGGTGAAAGCTAGTGTGTCAATATTAAAACACAAATTCTGACCTTAGAAAAAAGCTTCAATTATATTTTATTATTTCAGGAAATGCTGACAGACATCATTATGAGACTTTAGTGAAAGGAGGTGATGATGCAATGGTCTTGCATTTAGACAATGGAAAGAGGTAGAATATAAGTCATTATTTAAATCAGACTTTCCTCACAAGAATATCTCACATATAATAATTTTCTTCAACTCAGTTTTGGGAACCCAGACTGGGATGAGTTATCAATTTTGGCACCTCTTTATCAATGTTGCAGGTATGTCATATTATATTGTGTAATTGGTACCATATTAGCTCAGGATTGTTAAAAAATGTTAGGGAATACCCTCAATAAATCATGTGATTAAATTCTTTTGATATTATGTGTAAAAAAGGTGGAATTCTAGAAAGTAGCATAATTTGAAAGCCTGATATCCTGCTACATAAAGTATATTTGTTTGGCTTTCAACTCAATACAATTCATATATATAACTGCTTGCAGTGCTGAAAATGCCTCCATTTGTTTTGCAAGAAATGGAAGAGGGCGTTAATTTTATACCTCTTGTCTATTCAGAATTCTTCGTTCAACTTGGGAAAGGATAAAATCTCTCAGCAACCAAAATAACAAAAAACTCAGTGAAGTCCTGAAAGAATCCTTAAGCTCGGAACCTCTTTCCCCAGTACTTTCACAGAAACATTTAGACGCGATCGATAGAAGATTAAAAATGATCGTAAAATATGTGGAAGCATGTATTAAAATTCACGGCGAGAGTGTTGTCGTCGTAGCTGATCACAATTAAGGTAGGATTTTTCATTAATAATTGCCTATAAATACGTTTTTTAAACTCCCTTATTCAATCTGTACTAATGACTAATGTTATTTTGCCTAATGTTTAAAAGAGTACTTTTAAAATTAAAATCTAAAGAACTTAAAGAACCCAGCAACCTTAACGTTTAGCCCCAAAATCGTCCACTACTTCAAGTTCTTTAATTTCTAAAAAGAGTGATCTAGCCCCGCTTACACCCACATGTACCGATCTTAAGATTTCAAACGAGATTCTGGTTCTCAACCACGCTATGACAACTTCATATCGTTCATGATCTCTTTCTACTAATTTTTTGCCAAATGAGAAAGAAACTTGTGGCATTCAGGTGAGTCAGGTCCAATTCGACCATTGGTTCCGAAAACGAGTGGATTAGAAGAGCCCATTTCAACGTCTAAAACTCTCTGTTGGTATTTTCTCCTCTTTTCGTTCTCGTGTTCCTTGTAAATCCGTCCGCCTTCATGTCCAATCTTGCTTCAGCACTTATGATGCCCGACCTCAGGTTAAATCTCTCATTATCAAGGGGTTGAAGATGAGGCGTTCTTACACACTTTACCAAGTTGCGTTGTTAGCAAATGCGAAGTTCATCATGCATTTGCGCCAAGCGATCTTCATACGCACAATGGCTTGGTAAATCATTCAGAGTTAGATTGTATCTCATTCGTAACGAGTCTCTGAATTCTTACTTATAAAGAGCTAAACCTTGAACTTTGAGTGGTGTCGCATTTAGCCAGGAGCTCGCTCCTTGGCTCTTGATTGCTTTACCAAGAATAGTAGGTCTGGGGATAGTGTTGGCTGTGTTGCATCAATTTCCGTCTTGGTTGCTTGCTGTATTCTCTTCAGATCATCCAGAGAATGCTCCATCGGTTCCAGAACCTCACTTTCACATTTAATTGAACGTACACGTTGTTCGGTAAATAACTTTAATAAAAACGTTTTTATAAATTCTGTCGTACAATTACACGATCCAGACTGAGCGAACGCCAGTCAGCATATCATTTCACATAGAGCGGATACAATAATAAATATGTTCATTTCTATCGTCTATAAACCATGCTGCAATACTGTATACTCCAGTATTCTAGATTTGGTGTGATGACCGAGCCAGTACTGTGTCTTTTAAGCCTGTTGATCCTACTGTAATCCTTCCTTCCACTTATTTCTTATCTGCTCCCTATTAATGTCATAAAGTATGGCCTTTTCCAGTGACCGATGACTGGATTTCATATTTTACCAGCTTTAAACATTAGTGTTTTCAACTAAAGATTGCCCAAGTTCAACTTGGCTTGACATGTCCCCGTCATTATTGTATTCATATCGTTCTATATAAAAATAGCATGAACGTAATTAGAACTGTAATTTTAGCTGAAAACTAATTTTTAGCTTGTACAGTCTTCTGTCTATAAAGTTCTCATATTATGTTTTTCCTTATTCAAGTATTCGTGGTGTTGTTCATCACCGTCACTCACCCCCCTGAAGTTTCGACATCTCTGGCCTATTTTGCTTTGCATCGCAGTATATACGACGCGCAAGAAATATGACTACCAAACCGAATACCACTACGACGAGGATAACAATGATCCCACCAATTAAATAAGTTAAGGGTAATTTCGTTACTTTGCCTTGGGTCGTTGTGGATTTATACACCAATGTTGTGCGTTTATATATAAACGTATTAGCTAAAGTTGGTTTAAGCAGCCGGCAATCTCTCCCTGTGTCACGACAAGCTCTATCTTTGGTGGTGAATCCTTGTCTCAGGCATTGTAGTTCCACGTCATCTTCTTTTGTATCCTGGCAACAAGGTGAACATTTTTCACACGAGAATACAAAACTACGATAGTATCTATAAAAATAAATACTCTTTAGTTACGTACATCAGAGTAAAATTGGGTAAAATTGGCAGGTATAACTATATGTTGCTGTAGGTAACTAGGTATAACATTCATGAAAGATATAAAAGATTGTTATTTAAATTATTTCAACTTCAACTGTCTAGTTGGTCTATACGTAAAATCGTTTTATCTTTCATAAATGCGTTTTATCTTTCATCTATTGTCCGACAAGTCAAGCAAATATTCAATAAAAGAATAGGCTCACCCTGGTTTACATTTTCCACACTGCGTGTCTGATGATACGGTACACTTCTTAATCACCTCCTCATTATCCACACATATCCTGCATGGCCTGCACGAGGTGTGGTCATGTGTTTCTGAATACGATGCGCCTTGGTCACATTTCTTGCATCTGACTGTAGTGTTCTTGCTAAGAAACGAACCGCATTGTGGGACACTTCCTGTTCCTACTGGACATTCAACGCAGTCCAGACAATGTTCTGAACTATTTTTTATGATCGTGATTTGGTCCACACTACATTTTGTTCCTAATGACCAGTAAACATGATCCATGAAACAGAACTACAGTTGAGTAAAAAATTATCACTGAAAAACCTTGATGAACCAGGGGGAATCGTAATATAAATATAATAGCCCAGCAAAAAATAAGCAGAACAGCCATAACACAAAATTTTTCAATACAATTTAATATAGCTAACGATAAGGATTAATTGCATGTATAGAATTGATATATTTATCCATAATAATTGTTTTATAATAGCTTTATCAGGCATTGCGGGGTTTTTACGGCATATTTTTTGCAGGGCTGAAATATTTTTAGCAAATAAGGCCGAGGTCAAACATCGCACTTTTCATGCGCTGAGCATTAAAAACAATAGATAATGAGCTAGATTCTAATCTACTTCAACCACGTGTGCCCTGCATGACAGCCGACAGGCAGTAAGTATCTCAATAGGATCGAGTTTTATGATTGGCTTTTTGTAACAGTAGAAACAATTGAAAAATCGCTGATTTCTATAGTTCACTGTATTTTATTTATACCAAAAGCAGAGCTTGTTCGTAGAAGCAGGTAGCGAGTCTATGGTCCCATGGGCATGACAGGCAATAGTCGGTGCTGGTCTGGGAATGTCATATATTTCCGTTCGAAATTCCTTCGACACACTACACACAGTTGAATACTGCCAAACCTGCTTGAATTCTTGTAGATGGAATTCAATACGTTCGAAATATGAATCAAATGCCTGTGTTTAAATTCCAATGATAATTACTATTGACAGATGGCAACGGTATGAGTTCCAAAAACTTCGAGTCTTGCGGTAGACAGAATATTTAAAATTAAAAAAAACAATTAACCGCTCAGGTCCACAGTAATTCCTTAATTTACTTTCGTGTTCCACAGTGTCCACACACTGACAGTTAAATCGATCGTAATGTTACGGATTTCGTTTTTGCTGGTAGGAAAGGGTGGCGGTTAGGAACTGGGTTCCTAAAATATTACGTGCGTTTCGTGTGCGTTTCGTGCGCGTAACATGACGACAGCACCGTTAGATCACAGATGATTAGATCATCCGTGGTCATCCGTTTAGCTAACTAATTGATGGATTAATCTAAACTGTGTATGACCTCGATAATTACCTGGTAATTATGATGTAATGAGGTATGATGTATTTTTAGTAATACACCAAATTTAATCAATTTTATAGGGATATACAACACATACAAGCTGCAACCTAATATAGCTACAGTAGGGCCTCAGCTCGTATATGTTAAGTTAAATCAGTCCTGTGATTAAACTAGTACACGATTTTATATAGTCAACCAGAAATGTTGATGTTATGATGTAATGATCAACAGATTATTGTTGGCTGCTCTGGTTCAAGTTGTTTAGTAATCCATAGACCATACAGTGGAATGATTGATATAATTTTGGTTTCCCCATATTATCCTTACTATAAAAAGTACTTTACCTACCAAAATTAAACTTTCATATAAGCTCATTTTCAACATCCTTCCGCGACAGCAACGATTAACGACGTTAAGATGATGACTGGGCACATTTTCTACTGACTCAGCAGGGAAAACGCTCCATTGAACTCGTCGCATTCGGCTCGTGTTTCGCGCGCTTTTCTTAAACTCGCAACATTCCAGGTTGCCCGTGACAACATCTTCCAAGTACACTAAATTATAAAACTTAACCTTTTTACCAAATGATTAACCTAACAGTGTGTGTGACTATGTAACTACAACTCATGGCTTTACGGGATAAATTTGTTTGCCAGCCAGTCTTGTCACGTAGTCTTAGATCAATGATGAATTCACGCAGTAGGCAAGCTTGACTAGATTGAAACAAGGATCAATGATCACGAAGCAGAGCCGGAAATAGAAAATACATTTACTCATATAGCTCTACTCTACCACTAAGAATGCAGTAATATTCACTATTCAGCGACAGAGCTATTCCCCTACGGTGGGGGATTATCGTTTCTTGTAGGGGTAGCGTATACCCATAGCTATAGTCAAAAACAGGTATTTTGTGGGGAACGTAGGTAGATTTCTTTCAAATCGTTTTTAGTTTACCTCTTAGCTCTTTTATCGTGTCTTTCTATTTTAAAAGTCGTGTTGAACTTGGGCATCTGAGTAAAAATGTCATTTTCCTGCACTTAGAAATGGGTATACCGGAACATACCAGGGAACATACCATAATTTACCATAGTTACATACGCCAGTTCTAGGACCCCCGTTCTGTCTCGCGGATGTTAAATTACATATAAAACTATTGTTTACATTGGTTGATATGGCATTCTAAGTGTGTGGAGTGTAAAATATTTGGAAAAAATTCCTATCAACTGTACAAATATCAACTTTTATTTCTTTTCTTTATGTCTCAACATCGCGGAACATTTGATTTGTACGTTTCTCTTACTTTCATTTGAAGTAAGTCATCAGAAACACCGCTGTGAAACAGTTGATTGATGAACGCTTATCTAGTGGATAGGCTAGACAAGCACAAGTTATAACTCGAGTATATAAACTTGATCTGCTCATACGTGTGCATTTCACCAGCTACTTTTATATATGATTCCTGGTTAAACATTTAAATGTAGAAAATATGGCCATCGGTTCCTGTTTGATTCAACTAGGTGAGTTCAAAATTAACCTTTGCGACTATACAGTAAACCATAATAACAAATTATTTGGTATAGATGTATTATTGAAACACTGCATGTAAACGGACAAGCTAATATCACCTATATACAATATATCTGTTCGCAAATTTTATCTCGCAACCTGTGTCATTAACTAAACGATTGCTATGTTTTAGCGTATCAAAACCTTAGCTATTTCAATTATTTTTCTAGCCACCTGGGGCCATGTTGATTTTATACTCGATCAATTTACGAACTCTATTTTTAAAAAAGGCAGTGAGATATTGAGCATGAACAGTTCAGCAATATTTTCACATCATTTTGCTTAAGCGCCCAACATACGAAGTAATCATTTTAAGGAATAGCCGAAGGAAGCCACACTATAATGTTTTACACTTGCATGTATAATATGTAGGAAGTATATACACATACTGTACTGAAAAATGATACATATTTGCAACCATACAACTAAAATGACTAAATAAGTCATTTGAAGAAATATCATCGAATTAAAATTCAGCCCCATTTAAATCACAGAATTTCATATAGCATCAATGAACAACAGAAAACTAAATATTAGATTGTTTGTTGGGGTGCTGATAGTTTTAATAAAGTTTATTGAGTTCAACCAGTACATGCATAAAGGCAAGTCCTGAGATTGACGTTTAGGCAAATTTCAAGGTGATTTATTGCAAAATAGGGGGAAACATAATGTGGTGTACTGGTATCCATACTTGCACCTGCTACCTTTATACCCATATTATTTAACCCATTATCTGTCAATTTCACATCCATTGTCTTTGACAATCCTCAAACTAATTCTGTCTATTTATATTTAAATCAGTTGTATAACCATTCACTCCTGATCTTACTAACCAGCTTGCTATCATTTCTCAATGTAGCAACAATGATTGTCACATTTAGTGGAAAGAACTCAATGGTAAATATTACCAATCCTTCATCATCTAACATATCATCATTGGTAATACATTTTAAGACATCCCAATCAAATTCACAAATTGTTAGCATGGTGTCTGGAAGCTGGTTGTTTGCTATAAACATACAGAGCAATGGATCATTAGCAATTGATTATAAATTTGACCAGAATATCAACAATGGATCTGTCGATTTAGGTAAGAATTAATAATCATATATATTGCATCATTTTTTTGAATGATTGAATTATTAACTCTTAGTATAACTGATGCTGTTCATCAGCTGACAAGCAAAATCATCTTGTGTGTCTTTGGGGTGTGAGACCCCTAACAAAATGCATATTTATAGTAAGGTATATGCATGTATTTTATGTAAGGTAATCAAAATATTGATTCTGATTCTTATTTGTATAACATTTAGGTTTGGTTAATACTGACAAATGGTTTTTACTCAACATTACATCTCAAGAAAATTCCACACAGTTTCAGTTAAGTGAAAGTAACATTTCACTGTCCATTCCATGTGAACCCAAGACAACTAAAACAAAAAACATAGTTTTACTTGGTGAAACTTTCTCAAAGATTTTAAAAACTGGCTTACAAATTGGAGGGGAAACTAACACTAAAAGTTTAAAATCTTTTAAAGGCTGTGTTGGCATGTTCTTGCTAAATACTCACACTATAGATTTGTTAAATGTAACTAAGGAAAGTCGTTCTTTTAAAAGAAACCTCAAGGGTACAATAAAGGGTTGTCCATGCTCCCAAAAACCCTGTAAGACAGGTGCCAATGTTTGGGATGAAACAAAGGGCAAGTGTGTTTGCAAATGTGGGTTAGACTACTATGGTGAATTTTGCCAAAATATGTCGAGGCCAGAAATAACAGAGAAAGATGATTCTGAAAATATTTATATTATTGCTGGTGTAGCTGTTGGTGTTTTACTATTGATAACATTGGTGATATGTGTGGTGTTCTATATTAAGAGGACGAGTAGTACCATGTTAGGGGTATATAACCCAAAAAATCAAGAACAGGTACAAGGGCAACAAATGAATACAGCATTTTCTTTACCAGTTCCTGAGAAGCTAATATGAACATAGTTATGTGGTTAGACAAGGTTTGTTGCACCTGCAAGCTACACGAAAAACTTGCGACAAATTTGTTACAAGTTTGTCAAGTGACTTCAGTCAAGCCTACAACGGTTTATAAGCACGAGATTCTCTGCTGGGTATAACTTGGTAAAATTGGACATAATTAAACTTCAAATGCTTTCTTATTGTGACGTACATGCTGTAACTATTCGATAATATAATGATTATACAAATATTTAAAAACAAGTACACATACATAAATATTCATGTCATGTTCGTTTAAATCTTTGCAAACCAGAATGTCGATAAACAATGCATCTTTTGTTTCCAGTCTTTTTTGGAATCTACACTCTAAAGGGCGATCGAGCCACAGGTTGTATACAAAGTACCCGCGTCGAAATCAGGTTTTGTTTCAAATGGGGGGGGGGGGGGCGTGCACGCCTAGTTTTGGCAAGGTGATCAGTTAAATGCGACGTCGGTCGGTAAAAAGTATAATTTTGCTCAACATGCTTTGCTCCTTACGATAATTTGACAAGTCGTCTCATCCACCTGTTGATAAATCGTTTATAAAGTGATAAAAGAGATTCTTGAAGTTTTGCATGTGAATCCAGGTGTCATCACTTACAGACAGTCGCCGGTGCTCTGCGGTCCATATCGTCGATGATTTCTTTTCTATACTCGGACAAAGCACTTAAAGTGCATAAATTATGCATCGGTGACAGGGCCTCTTTTAACATATAGACTGGGGGGGGAAATTGCCCCCCCCAGCCCCCCTTACTTCCCCCCCAGTCGGCAATTTTTTCCCCCCCAGTAGAAAGTCCCTTTTCATATTTTTGGTGTGAAAATAACTCCCAAAGTTAATATTGGACAACATATTAATTAATCCGTATTCCAGTATTCCTTTCGCAGAATCTCAACCTCAGGCTCTCTTGCCCTATAGTGTAGCGAAACCTATTTTTAAATTAGTAACTGGAATTTTATGGACTTTATGAATTTTATTTTATGGACTAGATTTTTTCAGGTCCCCTTTTTACGTTATTTCAGGTCCCTTGGGGAAAATGTCCCACCCAGTTACATATCCTTAAAAGAGGCCCTGATCGGTGACAAACGACAGATAGAGAAATAGAGAAAGCCGACGGTCTGCGAGTGATGAAAACCAGGCTTAATGACGTGCAAGGCTAAGCAATAGTTATTTTATGTACACTTCTAAAACGCATAACATGCATGCATTTGAGACATTTTAAAAGGCCAGTTTTTCACTTCAATCTAGCGACCAGAACTAATGACTTTAAAACAATGGGATGCGCTGCGATACGAAATTAAGAAGCGCGTGCAAATACGTTTGACTTCAAGACAGCATTTTATATGTTTCTAGGCACGCAATCACGCAACACTTTTAATAATAATAATTTATTTATCCATCTTAGGTATAAAATTACAATGGATTTACAATTACTAAATATGATTAAAATGTATGTATATATACAAATATAATAAATTTACGATTTTAAAATTATGTCTATAATAGTGCATTAGTCCTTGGAATAAACGAAAGTTTATGCCTATTGGTATGAGAGAAGAACTGCGGTAGAGTTCTTGGAGTTCTTAGATTATATGTTGTCGTCACAATATCTGGTATGTATTTCCTGCAAGGGTGCGTTTCATTATCCATAATTTTCTTGTATTCACGTATGGCGAGCATGTCACGACGCTGTTCAAGAGACTGAAATGAATCAGACGGCAGAGCAAGTATTTTTAGACTTCGAGTTTGAATGTTCTCCACCTCATCTATTAAATATTGTGGTAAACCACTCCAAATTGGGGCTGCATATTCCAAAACCGGCCTAATTTTCGTGAAGTAACAAGTTAAACCTACTTCCGTCGATAGGTTTGCTCGGCGGCATTCCCGGAGGTGGAATAAACGTTTGTTTGCCTTTTTAGTAATTTCTTCAACGTGTGTGTTCCATTTAAGGGTATCGTTACACCAAAGGCCCAGCAGCTTGAACGTTTTTACTCTTTCAATTGTATCATTACCAATCATAAGTGAAGGTGGTGCAGGAATTCCTTCTTTGAAGCAAATCCACATATCTTTAGTCTTTTTTATATTAAGTTCCATCTTGTTTCTAAGTGCCCAGTCATTCGTTGCATCTAACACCGTTTGCATGTTGCCAGTGGAGCAATATGAGATTGCCTCATCCTGAGTGCAATCATCTGCATATTTGTATGTATTAATCTGCAAATGGTTGGGAATGCAATCTTCAAGATCGTTAACATAGACATTAAACATTGTTGGTGAGATGACAGAGCCCTGGGGGACTCCAGAAGGACAGGACCTAATAGATGATAAACTCGCACCTATTTTTACTCGCTGGCTTCTTCCTTCTAAGAAACTCTTCGTCCATAACCAAAAGCATTTAGATACATTCATTTCAGCTAATTTTCTTAGGAGCAAGCCATGGTCAACCATATCGAAAGCTTTACGAAAATCAATAAATAAGGCATGAATTCCCATTCTTCCATCCCGTGAATTTTCGGTCTTATTGTACCAATTTTGGATAATACTCGCTAACGCAGATACTGTTGATCTTCCTTTTGTAAATGCATGTTGATTATCTTTGATGTTAAGGTCATTTTTATTCAGTTTAAGTTGTATGGTTTCCAAGATTTTTGCCATTTGCGGTAATACAGAGATTTGCCGGAAATCATTGTCAATATCATTCGGGGGGTATACTTTGGGCACAGGGGTGACCAATGCGTGCTTATAGAGAGTCGGGTATTTGGACTGGGAAATGCTAGAGCAGATGATATTATGTGTGCATATCGTTTGAAAGCGCGCTTATTATTCTCTAGTAAATATAAATTCTATGGAATCGGGGCAAAATCTCTATTTTGGACATATGTTAGATTAATTTCGTCTGTTTTGTTAAAAAATCTAAAGTTTATATTCCAAATGATCGATTTACTGCGTTAATTTTTTTATTAATAAATGCTTTGGAAAGGTTGTAAACAAATTTTGTATAAAAACAATAAGTATTTGAATTTCGATCGTTTGAATGATGGGAATGAGTCATATGGCTACCTCCTCCGCAGGCCCTAGGGGCATTTCTGGCATATTTGCCCGAAAAGGGCCTGCGGAGAACCTGCGGAGGAGGTAGAGAGCAGTGAACTCTATACAACACGTATTTGTTTACAGTTCAATGGTAGAGAGTCATATGGTGTTTTTGAACATCGTGTCGAATATCGTGCGTACTTCACACAGTGACCTCGCTTTTGGTTATTTTTCGGAACGCTTCTGTTGCCGCGATTGTAAACGTTGCGACTTGTATTGACGATTGTGATAATTTTGCGGCACGGTTAAGTTATAATCGTCTAAAACTAACGAATATGAGTGTGTTTCTCCGACTGGCAGGAATTATAGCTATGGTGGCAATAAGTTATCGTTTCTTGAGAATGTTTATTGCCGGCGGGGTGTGCACAAGCACAGCAAGTATGAGTGGTAAGGTAGTGCTTATAACCGGAGCAAATTCTGGAATTGGTAAAGCTACTGCAGTTGATTTAACTAGACGTGGTGCAAGAGTTATCATGGCGTGTCGGGATCTTAAGCGAGGCGAAGCTGCCTTGAACTTCATGATGCAAGAAACTGGCAGTTCAAATGTCATCTTGAAACATCTAGACCTTGCCTCGATGAAATCCATTCGTGCATTTGCGAAAGAAATCAACACAAACGAGCCTGAGCTTCACGTATTGATAAACAATGCCGGAGTGATAGGTTCACCGAGACGGCAGGAAACCGAAGATGGGCTTGAATTGACCATGGCGGTGAACCATTTCGGTCACTTTATGTTGACGAACTTGCTTCTTGATCTGTTAAAGAAATCAGCTCCATCACGCATTGTTGTCGTCTCCTCGATTGCACATCATAACTTTTTAGAAACGCTCTCCCCATTCAGATTCGATAATATGCACAGCGAAACGTTTTACTATAATATGGAAGCTTATGGTCAAAGCAAGCTGGCGAATATCCTGTTTACCAGAGAGCTAGCAACCATGGACTGCCAGAGAATTTAGGAAATTTGATGATGAGAGTAATATCTATATTTCTTAAGGCACCTGAACAAGGGGCACAGACCAGCATACATTTGGCTGTGTCTGAAGAGGTCGAGGGCACCTCTGGGAGGTATTTTATCGATTGTGAAGAGAGAGAACCAGCGAAAACAGGCCAAGATGATGTAGCAGCAAAGCAATTGTGGGAAATAAGTGCCGAGATTGTAGGAATGCAGGATTTAATAGCGGATGAAGAATAAATTGGGCATGCACGCTCAGGAGGCTGATTTGATTTGAGGCCATATGATTTAATTACATAACTTGTGTGAACTTGCATGAAAATCGGTACTAATTTCCACATAATAGGAGAAATCTCGTTAAATTGTAATTTACGATGAAATTTATGATAGCGATGACGCAATTGATAATCTTCTCAACAATGTAGAATTACTAGGATTACCATTTACCACTAAACTAGGAGTTCTTATCAGAAGAAAAAATTGCTGCCGGAAATCTTAAGCAAAGATCTTCACTTCTGCATGTTTGATTCCAAAACGTCTAAATGAATTTCAGGAAGACACGTCGTTTTTAAAATTGTTTTAGAAACTTCTGGAATGTTTTTGCAGGTAGCATTGTGATCTCAATGATTACAATGAAGAAAAAATACATTAGGAAAGATCAGTGGACAAAATTTAACCAAATTTAACCTCAAGAATCAGTAGCACACATAGTAAATATATATTTTCATACCTGTCGTCAAATACACATCTTGAATATGAGGCCATCTTTTAAATGTTTGGCTGGAAGACTAAACTTTAATATTACTTTCGCGCAACAAATGTAGACTGCCCAGCTCATTGAGACTGCCGAAATCTATTTCGAACTTTCGCTTGGCAACCTTTGCTGTAGCAACAAAGGCGTTTCAACATGGCCGCCCAATTCCGAGTTTAATTCACTGGTTTAATTCCAATTATATTTCATGAGCTCCGGTCGAAATATATGAGATTACAAATGGTAGAGTTTAACACAACACACTCCTGAAGTGAATAAGATACTTTATTGTCAGGCTCAAACCCAAACTGTAACAAGAAGAGTGTTCATCACAGGTTTTTAATAAAATCTTTAGAAGGTAGAAGCGGTGGGCCAATCAGCCATTTTCAAAATTTCCTCCAGAGGAACTGACGCGTTTGCTGCTGCCGAGGTGGCAGCTCCCCGTACCGGTGAGCTTTGAATATTGAGGTGTCTATACCCGCTTGGGCAAGGAACTCGCGAATCCACTGATCGAGTTAGAGT